ATAAAAGTGACAGTAAAGAATTCAACATTGTTGCAAAACATTTCTCTTTCAAATTAATGCTGTTCTTTTGTCATTTTTATTCTTCAAAAACCATTAAAAAATGTTTCACAGTTTCCACAAAAATATCAAGCAGCACAACTCTTTTAAACATTGATAATAATGAGAAATTATTCTAAGCATCAAATCAGCATGGCTGCTGAAAATTCAGCTTTGCAATCATTGGAATAAATGAAATTTAAAAATATATTAAAATAAAAAAAGTTATTTGTATTTGTAACCAAGCGTGCGGCACGAGTCCTGAAAGTGAAGCCAAAGTGTCTTGATCGCCCCCAGGTGACTGGATACAGTACAGGTCATAAACCCCGCCCTCTCCATGTAATCTAATGGGACGTGAGACAAACTAAATAATCAAATTATACTTCAAATACATTTTTCCCAAAGATGGTTTCCGTCATTTAAGGTAGATCTTATCATGCTGATTTATGTTCAAGTGTTTGTTTTTCTAATAAGTTTGATTTTAGTTAGTTATTTGGTGCTATAAAAACGGGGTGTGGTGTCATGATTGTGATCTTGTGATTGGGTCTGCGGGAGTTTGGGCGGGACTTTGATACCGAGACTCCACCTCACAATCACTACTGTGCAGACTCTGGCTCCAAACGAATCTCTACTGCGCAGGCTCTGGCTCCAAATGACGCAAGATGACAGCGGCCATACTGAGATGCTTTGGCTTCACTTTTCTATAGTGGAAGGAATTGGAGACACGCCATCCATCTTTTTATACAGTCTATGTTTGTAACCATGAAAAAGATTTTAAAGGGGTCATATGATGCTGCTAAAAAGAACATTATTTTGTATTGTACTTAAATCTAAACCAAACTAAAAGTAAAGCAGTGCTAAAATGCACCAACAGTTAATATATATTAATATATTTTATTATTATTATTATTATGATGATTATGATTTTGAAGTGAAGTGGCTAAATCACTCACTCACCAACATGCCATGCAGTAGGCTTGCCGCGATAGACGGTGCTGACGGTGATACCGGTGTTAAGCCGCAACACCGGTTACGTCACTTGCCCACCGCGGCACCGACCCCCACCGTCAATTTGATTTTTTATAGAAATAAAAATAATTTCGTTCAGTAAAAGAACGGACACTACAATTAATAACGGAACGCGGCTGCTCAGTGCAGCGTGCCGAACGACAGTCGCATCACAGATCATATTTAGTTTCTCCAGTGAGGAGAGTGAGTCGAGCTGACTGACAAGAAGAGAGAGAGGTGAGACAGACAAGACGATCGCGGATGATTTAGTTTCGAAATAAAATGCAAAAGCGCCTGTTTGGCAATATTTTGGATTTTGAAAAGCCTGTTGACTTTTGCCTTTTATCTAAGGTGATTTTGGAAGTTTTTTTTAAAATATTCGTTTCTTATTTAATTGGTTCCACATTGTTTGCTGATTTTTACTTTATTTAAACTTTGTATCATTTATTTATTTTTTTTTACATCAAGGTGTATGCCGTGCCTCCAAGCTTTCTTACTCTACTTCTACGTTTCTTATTTATTTGGTTATATATTATACATGTTTACTTAGGCTATTTCCAGTTTTGTATAGGCTACCTATTTAAACTTTATGTAAGTTATTTGTTATTTTTATATTAGGCATAGCCTGCCCTATAGCATGGTGTATTTGTATTTGTTTTGTTAATAAAAGTTCTATGTTTTATATATAGGCTAAAGTGAGTTTGACGTTATATTTTGTTGTTGCATTCAAGCAATTGACGCCTAACTGCCGCTAATTCAAAAGTGAAAGTAAAATGCGCATGGCGCTTTTAAGCTATTGGAAAGCGAGGAAAAGGGAAAATTCTAACAAACTAAAAACGACCAATTGCTTTACGCCGAATTGCCCCTATTTGAAAGTGAAAGTAAAATGCGCAAGCCGCTTTTACAAGATATTTAAAAGCGAAGGAAAGCGAGGAAAAGAGGGAACGCCCCGCCCCCGCGGTGATACCGGTATTATCGGTGTTGTCACACGTCGATTAACCGGTGGGAAAATTTCCTCACCGTCACAACCCTACCATGCAGATAGATGTCTTTGTGACTTTTTTCTTGATTTTGTAGCTTCTTAGGCAAACTGATCTTTGTAAATGTTGTTTAGTCTGGCAGTGATGTATCCAGACAGCTCATGTCATCTCACTCCTTTTATTTCTAGATAAAGAGGATGGTGCCATCTCTACTTTAGTAATTCGTGGGTCCACAGACAACCTGATGGATGACATTGAGCGTGCCATCGATGATGGAGTTAACACCTTTAAAGTCCTTGTCAGGGTGAGCTACTTTAAAACTCCACCCCAAAAAACACTTCTAATGAAAGTCTTTTAAATCATGACAAAATGTGACCCTAACAAAAACATTTCCACTCAGGACGCACGTCTTTGTCCTGGTGCTGGTGCCACTGAAATTGAGCTGGCGAAACACATCACCTCCTATGGAGAAGTAAGCAAATCAATCTTATCTCATTTTGCTGTTGGCAAAACCTGAAGAGTGTAAATAATTTGAACATGTCCTCTAAAGTCTTGCCCAGGCCTGGAGCAGTACGCCATCAAGAAATACGCAGAGGCGTTTGAAGTGCTGCCTCGTGCTCTGGCAGAGAACTCTGGCGTCAAGGGTAATGAGCTGATTTCCAAACTGTACGCCGCGCACCACGAGGGCAACAAGAACTCTGGCTTTGATATTGAGGTGAGGGGAAAAGAAGCTGTTACTAATTTGGAGGCAGCAGACCTGATATAAATAGAAAGAAGGACCCAAAATAATGCATTTTAAGGTGTAATTGATGACTATATACTTGTTTTAAACCATTCAGGGAGAGGGGCCTGTAGTGAGGGACATGATGGAGGCTGGTATCCTCGATCCATACCTGGTCAAGCACTGGGGAATCAAATTGGCCACAAACGCAGCCATCACTGTTCTCCGTGTGGATCAGGTTAGCTTTACAATTATGTATTTTTCAGTTTCTTATTCCATTCATGTTTATCAATTTAGGTGCTTTGTTAGCCTGTTACTTTCTGGATTATAATGTGATGTGTGTATGCCAGATCATTATGGCAAAGCCAGCAGGGGGACCCAAAGCCCCCAAACAGCAAGGACACTGGGACAAAGACGGTTGGGACGAGGAGCCAGACAAATTTGATACACATCATTGATAAGAAATCCTAAATAATTGCTAAGGTGCACAAAAACACGCCACTGTTTGGAGTGCCTAACCACTGGAGTGTGAATCGGGTTGCATGAACACTGTGTGGAAATTCACCATGAATTTGTTGACGAAATGAGTCTAGCCTGTCGTTACACCACACACAGATAAAATAGTTATGCCGTTTAGCATTAGTTAACAGTTTAAGCTGGGTATAGCTCACCCAAAAGTGAAAATTGTCATCATTTACTCACCCTCAAGTTGTTCTAAACATGAGTTTTGTTCTTCTGTTGAATACAAAAGAAGGTATTTTGAAGAATGTAGAATGTGTTTTGAACCAAACAGCTGCTGGTAGCCATTGACTTCCATAGTATGGAAAAAAAATACTGGCTACCAGCAACTGTTCGGTTACTAACATTGTTCAAAAAAAGAAAGAAACTCCAACATGTTTGGAACCACATGAGGGTGAGTAAATGATGACACTATTTTCATATTTGGTTGAACTATCCCCTTTTAATTAGAGATAATGAGTATAATGGTTGTCTCCTAACTGTCTGTTTTAAACCTACTAAGTTCATGATCTATTTTTCTTCACGAGCATCACTAACTTATGTCATTCTCTGTGACATTTTGAATGTCATCTGGGGATTTTGGCACAATTTACTTGCATGCCGTTTGCACTAAAAGCACTTTTTCCACACAGGATATTGCACTGTGCACAATTGACTGTCTTTTACTCTGTAAGTGTCTGACAATGTCTGTTCTCCTCCACAGATTATAATGGCCAAGCCGGCTGGTGGACCCAAAGCTCCACAAGGAAAGAAGGACTGGGATGAGGATGAATGATGTCACTAACCTGTGTCTCCCTGTCACCGTCTTAGCTTTTCAAGTGTTGCATATTTAATATCTAGCCCCCATTCTTTTTGTATTTTTTTTAGGAGAAGCCATCCATGTTAACAATGAGTGGCTCTGAGCTGTTATTCTGGTCCCAATAAAGGCACTTGAGCTGTCAGCGTCCTTGTCTCTTCTTTTAAATAATGCTTGGTGTACAACAAAATGCAGCATAATTGTTACGCTTTGACATTCTTGAAAACTTATTAAACTCAGAGTTACAACATTTAGGCACACACTAAAACAGATTATCTCAAGGCTGCTCAAAGAAAGGCTTTTATGGAATGAAACGGCAATTTTCCTTCCATAAAATCTGTATAATTACAGTAGTTTGCACAATTCATCTAGTTACATAAACATGAATATTGTAGTGATGGGAATTCTTGCAGCAGTAAATATTGGATTATTTTTGTGCTGAGTTCATGCTCCTTCTTCCCCAAACACTCAGATTGACATATATTTGCTAACTATTAATATTTTGTCTGTTTATTAACAAAGTCGAATTGTAGCTATGCATTAAGTTAATTTACGTTTTGTTTTGCGACTTTGGTTTATATTTGCTAAATGTTATAGGGGTGCCAATATGTGTTTTTCTTTCTTTATTTGTTAAATTATGCAAGATGAATTTCAAAAGATTGAGTGCACGTATGATAGCAATACATAGAAGGCCATTTACAGTACATTTTATTTTATGATTTTGGATTATATTTTAAAGCCAGCGTCATTCGCAAACACCCTCCAGCTACTAACTAACTAACTAAATATTTAGCTTTATTTTGAGACTGAGTCATTGAGGATTTTTTTTCAGTATCTTTATGATTAAAATATAACTAAATTGATTATATAAATAATCTATAAATGAATGTATTTACTATGGTTTCTGGTTGTTAATCCTTCCTCGCCGGGAGCGCTCTTGCAGGAAACAGTGGAGGCGCGCTCCCGCGGTGCGCTGCTAAACATGGCTGCTCTCAGTAAGTCCATACCGCACAGCTGCTATGAGATAGGACACACATGGAGTTCCTCATGTACGACCTCCACCCTGCAGGTGACAGCCGGCGCTCTGGAAGTCTCCTTCAAGATATATGCTCCTCTGTATCTGGTGAGTGTATGAGCGCGGATCTGTCCGTTCATTCGCCGGGGCAAGGGCGCAGTTAGCCGGGCAGCTACACCAGAGTCCTGCGGGACGGTGCGAGGGCCTGTAACAGTCGCAAAGTTATTTAGAAATAAACACACAGACTTCGGTCTCAGCCCGTCATGTTTTACATTTAATAGCATTCAAAGTAGAAAAATGTCGTTAGACTGATGACACGGTCAGATAAGCGACAGAGAGCTGCTGGATCATAGAGATCAAACTGTCAGATGATCCTCTGCGGAACACGGCGGTAAAGTTAGTTTGACGTTTGACATTCATTAGACATTCACATACATACATGCATACATATATGCATGTATGTATGGTGTTCCAGTTGAAATGGGTTCCAGGACAGTCGTGATTCATATAATCGTGATTCATATATGAATAGATTTTTACTAGGGCTGTGTATCACCAGCAAAGTCACGATACGGAGGCCCCGATACGATACATATCACGATACGGGACTGCACTGAATTTCACCACAGAAGAATTTATAAAAACAGCTGTTTATTAAACACTGCTTACTATAGTGCCATTTCTAACTATTGGCAGAGCAGGCAGTTGACCTCTGCATTATGAAGGGCCTCCATAACTGTA